AAAAGATTTTAAAAGTTTTCAGGAATGATTGGGCAGCTGCCTTTTTAAAGTGTTATTATTTACTGTTATCAATTGTATATAACTTATGAGACTTTCTTGGGTAGAGCAAAAGTCAGTGTACTGGGCTGCTCACCAAAGGTTAACAATCTAAGTCAATGTAGGCATATCTTGGAAGAAAGGTCAGGCTCTCTATATAAAAAGAAAAAGAAAAAAATCATCCATGAAAACCCTAAAGCTCACAGCTCCATTCTGACACACATGGATTTGCTATGAGTAGGCTTTGACTCCAGGAAAACTGGTACTGGTATAATTGGTTTAACAGAAATCTTTCATAAATTTTTTCTTAAAATGGAGTACTGGTCTAAACTGAGAATATATGCCAGGTTCCCTAATGTAAGAAAGATTTTGACTATCACATTTAAAACCTCAAATTCTTCCTGTAAATGCTACTGTAGTAAACACCATCTTCCTGTAAATGCTACTGTAGTAAACACCATAATAAAGCAAACATTCGATTGCAAAATACCTCCTTTTACCCCTGAGGTTATGATTCTGAAGGACAAAGCAGACCTCTGTATTGTTCCTCAGTCCCAGGACTGTGTGGCATACGGCAAACAGATCAAGGTCTCTCTTCCAGTGTAACAGAGATTTTTGTGTTTAGGGAGTAATGCAGTTCTATAGACTGTGTGTCCAATGCATGATAGCCCTTAATAATATTGTAAATTGGATAAATTTTGTGTTTAATGCTCTTCCAGTCCTCTTATGCTACCTGTTCGCTCACCTTCCTATCAATTCAGGGAGCATTTATTGAACATCTCTTATGTACCTGTTAGGGTCTATATTGGGGGCTTGATGTACAAAAAGAAATGAAGCATGTGGTATGCCTTCACTGAGTTCCCATCAGCCCTTCTTGTATACCTTATAGAACCACTTGCTGCTTCGGGGGTCTCTTGGACCCAAGGGGATAGGGCTGGCCTCACCCGGCTACCAACCCCATGGACATCGCCATGGTTCCTAACTTGCTCCTTGCCTTTCCAACCAAAAAAAAACTTCCTGAACTCAAACCCCAATCAACCAGATGATTCTTCCATTTAAACTCCAATTTTTAAGTTCTTATCTTAAAGAGAAGACATTGGCAGCAATATTGGACTTGCTCTGATAGATCTGCTTGGGATTTTCTTTTGTTTAACAACCAAGGACTTTTTAGCTCAGTTCCTTGACTGCAATTGTAACATCTATCTGCCGATACAACGCATGTATGTAACAGCTACCGTGTGAAGTTGTTATTAGGTAAGGCCAGCCAGTATTCTTAGTTAACCTGGCTTAACAGAAATTTTAGTATGATCTCCTCTTCATAGAAACCTCCCTGAAGTCAATTCTTGAGGGACAACCTATGTGAAACTATATGGAAGAATCAATCTTCAGATCATGTAATCGATTAGATTCCTAGATAAGATAACCCTCCCTACCCCACCTCCCCAACACACACACACACACACACACAGAAACTTGAAATAGAAATTTGAGAAGTTGAATGAATTTATTCACTTATGCACACATTTTAAATATATATATATGTAATATCTGCTATAGGCTGAGCTTTAAATGGTTAATAAAATAAATGCAGTCTCTGCCCTCATGAAAGTAATTGTATAATGAAAGTATAAAATATTAAGCAAAGAAAAAAAATAATGTGATCACATGCTGAGGCAAGTATCAACAAGCTGCTGTAAAAAATAAAAATAGCACGGTGTCCTGGTCAAGATGGTAAAAGAAGATCTCGCTAAAGTTAACATTTCACAACTAATGAGACTAAAGTTTCAAAAGGACCCATGTCAGTGGACCTCCGAATTTTACACTCCCGCCTAGATAGTCCAAATAAGAATGGAATGAGTAGGGTGGCTCTGGCCATATTGAGCTGTAGCATACAGATTCTAGTGGTTCAACTACCAGCCAAATGTTTAATTTCCAAACAGAGACCTTGTTTCCAAACGTGATTCCTGATCTTCACTCTGGCTTTATCAAGCCCATGGATCAATTTTGAATTTTCACTTTTGCATAGAGTAACATGCTACTGGTTGTGTGGTTGTTCAGTGTGTGTGTGCTAACCATGCCTATTTTTCTCTCCCTTTCATCGCCAGGCCTCCGGAACCTGTTTACAGCACTGTGAACAAACTATGTGATAAGCCTGCTTCTCCCAGGCACTATTCCCCTGTGGAGTGTGACAAAAGTTTCCTTCTCTCATCTCCCTACCCCCACTACCACCTGGGCCTGCTCCCTGACCCCGAGATGACCAGGTACCGACTGCATGCGCTTGCTCACTTCATCTTCTCCAAATGTATGTGCTTCCACCAGGATGAACGGGGAGAATCCACCTCTGCTCGCATCCCTCTCCCTTGACAGCCTCCGCACAATGGAGACGTCTGCTCCTTTGGTCTCTTTTGGGAGAAATTAAGTATCTTGTCCCCTTCTTTTAATTTTTTCTGGTGTGATCACTATGCACTCAGACATGGTCACATGATACCCTGGACAGTCTTGGTTCCCATGTATTTTAATAAGCTAGTAATTACATTTTTTTTCCAGAAGAATTAATTTGGGGTGTAAATAGCACCACTTTTCCTCATATAGAAAGATAAAAGAGACAGAATTTGGAATAATATTTAATAAACAGTATCCTTTGACCCTACTAGAGATTCTGATGCAGGCCCCCCCAGAACCTCAGGAGTAAGCAGATGATAGATGATATCTGTGTATTCCCACAAGGCAAATTTCTTAGACGTAAGTACTGTCATCATCATTTAATTGATGAGATAAGTGACTCCCAGAGATATTAAGCAATGTGTCCCAACCACAGAATGGGTTGGTTTTATCTACCCAAAAAGGACATAATGTTAACCTTTATTTTATGTTAGTAGGCCAGATGTTCACTTAATTACTACCATTTTATATAAGGAAACACAGGTTCAGTGAGATAAAGTATTACCTGCAACATGTGACATTGCCAATTAATAGATGGAGTCTAGATTTGAGCTTAGAGCATGTTGAATCTTTCTCCAACTCTGTAAACAAATTATTCAAGTCTCATAGTTGGACATCATTCTGCATTAATATTTTAAGCATATGTGAACTAAATAATAAAATTTAATCTTCTCATAAATAGTTGGAGTTGGAAATTGAGGAAAGTAAAGAAACAGAATGCTGTGTTCCATAGGGCTGTTCCGATGCAGTCTAAATTGAGAGATCCCAACGTTCCTTGTGTGACGGGGTACTTACATACTTATGCCTTCAGACTAAATGTTTTTATGTTTCCTCCAAGTATGATTAGGGCTGAGAAAAATGCAAAGTTTGGAAAGATACAAAATGAAAATGAGACTTTTTAGAACATCATCTCTATTTTTTAATATTCTCAAAGGATGCATTTATAAGTCAATTGCTAGACTCTCTAGGGGAAATAAATAGCAAAATTTAAATTATATCTAACATGTCTGAAAAGAAATGAGAAAACATTTTTGGTATATAATCTACTGGGGCATTTTCACTCATTTCTAATGATGAAACCGAATAACATTTCAGAATGCTTTAAAAATATTGATGAACTCCTACATTTTTATATTTTTACAAAGTCGTGAATTAAACCACCTTACTACAGGGAACTAGATCATCGTGAAGCTAAGAGGACAGCATCATTGTGGCCACAGGGAAGTGTGAAAACAGACACACCCGCACAATGACTTTCTAAAAATGATGCACCGCTGACCAGCTACCTAAGAGCACCTTTCCCTGGGGCCAGACCTTTCCTTAAGCATGTTTTATGAATTATTACTTTAACCCTCATATCCCCAAACCAAACCCATGGCTGTTGAGTCGATTCTTGGCGGCCCTAAAGGACAGAGTAGACCGCAGAGTTTCCAAGGCCATCATCTCCGTGGAACCAACTGACACTTTCTAAAAAAGAGTGGTCAGTGGATTTGAACGAGTGACCTTCTGGTCCAGCTCCTTAGCTACTGCACCACCAAGTCTCCTCTTACTGCTCACAGACACCCTGTAATGATCACTAGCAACACCTCTGTGTGTACACATGAGGAAAGCAAGGCTTGAGAGGTGACATGACCCGTCCTAGGTCATTGCCAATAAGTGGCAAAGCTGTGATTCACAGCCAGGTGACCATTCGCCTGGACAACCATTTGCACTCGCATCAGCAGAGGCCCGATGGCATGCTCTTGCTTGCTCCCTGGAAAAATCCACCAATCGCTTCCATTTCTTTTTCTCCCCCTTCTCTATTTTTATCCTGCCTACTCATTTCTACTTCTCTGGCTCAGTCTCCATAAGTTTTGGTTTTCAACCCACACTTTCCAATCAGCACAGTGACATTGACTTCTTTCCACCTTACTGGAGATTCTCCTGTGTTCCTCCTAAAACTTCACCAATAAGCAGATGAAAGATGACAGCTTTGGGGTATAACCACCAAGCAAGATGGTTTAGAGTTTACGTTCTATGCTCTGTGTTATGAGACTACACTTTTCATGTTTTCTTTATTTTAAAGAGGGCTCATTTATTGTTAGTTTCCAATGTAAAAAAACATTAGAAAACAACCCTCAACTTAATCCCCTCACCCTGTTTTTCGTATTTTCAAATTAAAAATTGCATTATACGTTTTTAATATTATTGTTCAAATGACACACCCTCACCAAGTCTGCTATGCAGCAGCCCCTGCCTCCCAGCCTGCCACTCGATTGGGAATTCTATTTCTAATGTCTTTCTTCTCATTTTCCCCGTTCTTTCCTTTTTGCATTATTCTTGTTCTTTTTCTAGAGAGGGAAATATTTGTATTATATATAAAATGAAGTATATTTAAACATAATTATAGGTAATATATAAACAGCTATGAAATAAATATCTATTTCATATATGTATATATGTAGAAATACACACATACATGAAATAGATATATATATATACATCCACTTGACAAAGAGTTTAATTTCACCACCCAACTTCTGCTGTTCCTGCAGACTTTCCCAGTTCAGGAATAGGCAGGTACTTCTGCCCCATTTGTTCAGTCAGGGAGTTTCCCTGAACCATGAACAGCTTATTCCCTCTCACACCTGTCATTCAGTTCATCTCTAAGTTCCATTGAACCCCTTCAAACCATCTCTCTTACCTACTCTTTTTTCTGTTCCTCTGTCCCCACTGCTTTCGTACCTGTCCCATCATCTTCTACCTGCAATCGCCTCCTAGTTGCGCTCACTGCGTACACTGTTGTCCTCCTGCGCTGTTCTCAATGTAGTCCAAATGGTCGGTTAAGAATATAAATCAGGATTTAAAAAGAGAAGAAAACACACAATGGCCTGCAAGCCAGAAACCCTGAATAATTTTTTTTAAAAAGAATATGTCAGATCATTTCACCACTCTTTTGCATTTATATAAAATGCAAAGTCATTAACCTAGGACTTAGGTGCTGCATGATCTTGCCTCTGCCTGTCTCTGAAACATTATCTCATTTGGCTCTTTACCGACCTCAAGGAAACCTGGTGGCATAGTGGGTTTCACATGGGACTACTCACTGCAAGTTCATTAGTTCAAAACCACAGCCACTGTGAGGGAGAAAGATGAGGCTTTCCAGTCTCATTAACATTGCAGTCTTAAAAATCCCCAGGGACAGACCTACTCTGTCTCTCAGGGTTGCCATGGTCAGAATTGACTGCAGTGAGCTTGTCTTGTCGTTGCTGACCACACCACTGCCATCAGCCGTCCTCTTTATTTCTAACATGCAGACATGGCGCCCTGGCCCGTGCTCTTCAGACATGCTCTCTGCTCTCCCTAGGAGCTCCTCTGACATTTTGCTTGGTAAATTCTGGTCATCCTGGGTCTAAACTCAAATGGTGCATCTTCAAAGGAGCCCCTGAAAGAGAAAACCTCTCTTCTTTCTTTGATAAAATTCAATCCTTTATGATTCTACTTGAGGTTAAATGATATTTAAAACTCAGCCCCTGGTTTACGTGCTACACTGTAAACTCAATGGGTGGAATTTTGTCTCTTTTGCACAATATTATCTCCCTAAGTCCTAGCACAGTATTTTTGAAGGAATAAGCATAGAAAGAAGGTCTGTAGAAATCTAGGCAGACACCAGTTTCAGGAACAGGCCCTACTTCAACTCTGCTTTATCCAGTTTTTAGTAGATACATGAAGAAGCTCCGTGGATGAATGAGCCCCTGCTTGGTAACACCTAACAGTAGACTTGAGTTTGCTTTGTGTACTAAACTCCACTCTTTAAGTTATCTTGATGGTCCATGTCCACATGACAGATATGTAGCTTTCAAATCGTCATTAAGACTGAGCAATTCATTTCAAAGATTGTTTATTACTTCCTTTCTTAGGGAAAATTTCCTCTCTGAGCAAATGTTTCTTGAAACTCAGCTAATAATTTAGGGATGCAATTCTAGAGCTCTGGGTTCAACTGATGTCCCCATAGCTTGTATTTTGCTTCTGTTTTGTTTTTTTCTGTTTGCTGTGACCTTAAGTAACTCATGGAAGCACAGGAGATAAGACCTTTGAGTTAGACAAGCCTTTCTCCAACATCAATTTGGATATGTTCATGGGTCCGTGTTTTAATTCTGCACATGAAACAAAGTTATCCTGGGATCTTCTATACTAAGAAGGATATTATAGAAATGTATCCATTAATCCATTCAACCAAGATATATCAACCACTGACAAAGTACTGTATCAGAACAATGTTTTACAAATGTAAAGGCTGACCAAGAAATATTAAGACGTGCCGAACCTTGAAGTGTGTTATGTGGTGATGTATATTTATCAGAGCATTAGATAAATGCCATTTCTGCCTCAGATTAGTACATGAGCTAGCATGTACTACTGTACTCCCTCAGGGTTTTCAGAATAAGGGTAGCAAGTCCAAGTTCTGAGGGTCAGTGACCTTGGACTTCAGTGGCAATACCTCAGTTCTCAACTCTTTGAGTTGATAGCACGCATCTGTACAGTTTGCTTCTGTAATATCATCTAAAAGACAACACACAAAGTTTACATTTTCCTTAGGAAAGCACTTTCAATCACTTGGCAAACTGCCAGTTCTTAAGACTGCAGATAATGTTTCAAGTAATTGACTTTTCAGACCTTGCAAAGGCAAGAAAAGGACAGAGGCTGGAATCAAACTATGAGCTAGAGTTCTGTGAAAAACAAATGAGATCGCTGTTGGCCACTTGCTGTGTGTGTGTCCTTTTAATTTACGGTTGTTTTTGATATTGTAATTGGTTTTTCTAATTTGGGAGAATGGTAA